TCTGTTGAGCATCCTGGCCATGGAGGTCAGATTTGATGCTCAGAACCGTGAGATGCCATTCAGTTCTTAATCTGGGGATGAAGCCTGCAGTGCAATTGAATTGTACCCCTAAGGAAAGGTCAAGGTTTGACCAGAAAGCTGAGGGATGATCCTTTTGTGCAACTTTCTGAAAGTTATTTTAAAAAGAAGTATTCTAGAAAATGGTTTGAGACATAGGAGGATGGAGTTTCTGAGAGCTCACTGATCTAGAATTATCTTTAGTCAGTTAACAAGGCCCAGGGCTTCTATTTTGGGAAGGAAGAGGCCTGATCTGGGAGCATTTGTGTAATTTGACAAACTGTATCCAAAATGAGAAGCACTTGGCTGACTGATTCTCCAAGTGGTGGGAACATAACAGATTACTGGGGCAGGTGTGGGACAGCCAAGTTCTGTCATGGGGTGGCACGAGCAGGGACAGCCAGTCTGTTCCCCACATAAAGGGAGGGGAAGCAGGAAGCAGAGAAGGTGTGGGGGCACACAACCCTTGTTTAGTGGCTTTCTGGGGGCTTTAATGCAAAGAATACCCAGAGAATCGAAAACATGTGTCCCTATAAAAGACAAATGTTTAGAGCTTCATTCCCAGGTCTGTTCCAGTCCTTGAGGAGTTAACCAGCAGGGGAAGGAGCAGAGTGGGCCAAAGGGAGCAGGAGGAACCTCAGAGCCTTTGCAGGAAGCAGCTGGGGGTAGATCTAGTGGGCTGTTGTGAGTTGGGGGTGCACAGTCTGGCTTTAGTCCTGCTGGGGGCCCTCCTGCATATATGTGCCTTCATTCATCCTGACTGCACTGTCCCCCAAGACTTGGTCTAAGTCTGTGGGCTCTGTGGTTCCTACAGGAACAGCCAAGACTGTTTCAGCCCCTGCCTGGGTGTGGAGGGCTGGCTGAAGCCACTGGGTGATACAATACGTCCTAGGGTCTTAAAGGTTAAACTACGGTAAAGCAGCTCCCAAACTGAACCATAGCATAGATCCTCATCCTGCCATTTCTTTCTAGCAATGGATGATCTTCCTAGGACCATATCCTAGTCCATGATGTGCCCCAAGGTGGGCCCCAGAGTCAGAGCAGAAATGAGGGAATCAGTCCCAGGAGCCACTTCACCCAGTCCAGGGTGTGCACACTGAACACAGGATGGACAAGAGCAATGTTGGTGGGGTATGGACAAAACAGAGCCCTCCTCTATTGCTGGTGGGAATGAAAAATGGTGCAGCTGCCTTGGAAATCAGTTTAACAGTTGCTCGACAAGGTAAACAGAGTTACTGTGTGACCCTCCATTTATCAACCTATCAGGTTGTACCCAGAGAATAGAAAACATGTGTCCCTATAAAACCCTGTATATGAATGTTCAGAGCATCATTCACAGGTCTGCTCCAGCTCTCGAGGAGTTAACTAACAGGGGAAGGAGTAGAGTGGGCCAAGGGGAACAGGAGGAACCTCAGAGCCTTTGCAGGAAGCAGCTGTGGGTAGATCTAGTGGGCTGTTGTGGGTTGGGGGTGCACAGCCTGGAATAGAGTGTCAAGTTCTCAGTTCCCCAAACACTGGCAATGAGGGGGTCCCCATGGGTCCTGTCTGTGCCAAAAAGAGAAGCTCACTGTGTTACAAGGAAGATCTGCCAGGGGACTTAGGAAGCTCTGCCTTAAGCTGGGTAAGTTTCCACCTCTGCTCCCTCCACTGTTAATTAAGCAAAAGCCCCCTCTCCTTTTGCTCCCTCCCCCTACCTCAGTAGAAACTGGATGCTGAGTGTCCCAAATCTCCTAGGCTTGGCACTGCCCATCAGAGAACAGAATATGGCCAAAGACAATAATGTCCTCCTGAACGCTTAAGAACTCTACCCCAGCCCCAGCCCATCCCATCTTGCCCCCAGCTTCTCTAGTTTTATCCTTCCTGATCCGTCCACCTTGTAGGCAGTTCTGCCCTGGGGTCTGAGGGACATAAAGTACAGAGAAGCATGAGAAGGGGTGGGCAAGGAAAGCCGGAGGGCACAGGGCCAGGTGGTGGGAAGGATAGGGTCCCAGGATGCCACCTGAACTCTGCCTCTCAGCTTTAGATGCAGGTGCTCCCCAGCTCTGGCAGCCCCCTCCTCTCCAGCTCCCTGCGCTGCAAGGGCAACAGAGTCCAGGCTGACTCCAAGCTGGCTCCCACCCCTCATGTCATTTAGGGCTCTCTTACCCAACTCTCCATCCCAATCCAGATCCTGCCCACTCCCTTCCAGGTCCTGGGCCACAGGTGTCAGGCAGGTGCTTCTTCTGTAGCACCAGGCTCTGAGGTCCTCGGCAAGAGCTGGTATGGGAGAGACAGAAGCTTCCCCTTGGCAGGGGCGAAGTCTGAGCCACAATGGGCCCCACACTGGGGGCAGTTTCTATAGGGCACAGAGGGAGTTCCCCTCACACCATGCCAGCCATCTCTGCTCTACCACACTGAAGGGCAGCTGGGGCTTTTACAAGAGAAGCCCCTGTCCCCAAAGATGCCACAAGCCTAGTACCCAGTTCTTCCTCTTGCCTCCACCCACAGCCACCTGCCTTCCTGCCCGCCGGAGTCGGTCCCTTCCAACCAGCACCCACTCTGTGCCACATCCCACCTGTGTCACACCCCACTTAGCCCCCTGCTGGAAGCCCAGCCTGGGAGCACAGCAGCTGTCCCTGGGTCATCCCCTCGACATCTCCTCAGCCAGCACCTCTCAGTTTCCCCTTCTAGCACAGTGACCAGCCTGAGATACCTGCGTGGGCAGTCCTGCCCAGGTCCAAAATTGGGGCTGGAGGCAGATTCTAAGGTCACTCTGCAAGGATTCCCAGCATGAGAAGGGGTGGCACAGGGACAGCAGAGTCAGAGGAGGAGAGGAGGGTACAGGGGGTGGGGGGAGGCAGCTGCCCCTGTCTGTTCATTAACCACCTGGATTAGACATTTCTGCCCAGAGGGGTGAGGAAGGAGAAGAGCTGGGTGTTGGGGAAGGCAGAGGGGGCCCTCATGCCAGGCTGTGCCCATGGCCAGGCCCACACTGAGGAGTGGAGGGGGAGAGAGTGTTTTGCACCCCTCCAGGCCCACCAGCTCCCTGAAGAGTGGGTCAACCCTCTGGGGGCAAAGAGAGCCCCAAGGAGGGGAATTCTGACCTGAGACCAGTTCTGGGGGGTGGCAGGGAAAGAAATGAAAAGGAAACAATGCCCAGGCCCCTGTCATGGGCAGGCAGGTAGCACAGGAGAGCCCCAACATTTCCCTCTCTGGTCCATGTGTCCCTGCTCCCCAGCTGGCCTTGGTCCCAAGCAGCCCCTGACACCAGCACCTTCTCCAGCAAACCAACTCCTTCTGATTGGTGGCTCTCTCAGCATAGGGATAGCCGCATCCCAGACCTCCCTGTCAGGACCACAGGAACATGTGAAGTTGGGGGACTGACATGGTGACACCTAAGGGATTGGCCCAGCCCAGAGGTATCAGACCAGGCAGGATGACCTCACCTTCCCCCAAATTACACCCTGATGAATGGGCTTCACTCTATCAGTACCGACAGCCCAACATCCCTGCTGGCTGCAATCTGTAACATACACACACACACTTACACTCACACATATACACACACACTTGCGCACACTCACACACACAGTATCACACATACTCTCACTATTACATGCACTCAGTCACGCACTCACACACTCACATTCACACACACGCACACACACTCACCTTTCCTTTAATGAGGTGGATGTCTGGGCCAAGGGACATCCAGGAAGGGGCAGTGGCCAGTGATCGTGGCAAAAGCCGTGGCTGGCAAGAAGCAGGTTGTCCACAGGGAGGGGATGAGTGAGCCGTGTGTCTAGGCAGGGAGTGGTGCAAGGAGGGAGCCACTGAGCTGAGGGCTGGGAGCCGGGCTCCCTCTCCAGCTGGCCCTTGGTGTGGTCCAGCTTGTACTTTCTCCTTCTTGAGTCAGCCAGCTGTTGACCCCTGAGCCTCCTTTAACCCCTGTAGTACTTGCTGACTATGCTTCTAGCAAAGCTGTCCAGGCTTCAGCAGGACACGGGTGCCTGGAGTAGGAACTTGCCAGGAAATGGAGACTGCCCCTCCTTCAGCCACTGGGCCAGGGGGCTTTAGGGACAGGGGTGGTGAAAGGGCCAGAGGAGAGGCAGGACACTATGGAAGTGACACAGCTGCAAGGCAATAGCTAAAGCGTTGATGAGGAAGGATGTTCAGCGAGATTATGATGATGGTAATGTTAATAATATATAGCAACTCTCAACTTTTGCAGAATACTCTGTTTTCTGCTATTTCCACTCATTTTATGAGTGGAGACTGGGAATCTCACTTCCTTTTTTCGTACTAAACTTTTTATTTTAAAATCATTTTGGATTTACAGAAGAGATTTAGTGATATTACCAATAGTACAGTTCCCATATACCCATCCACCAGTTCTTCCTGCAGTTAACATCTGACATTATCCTGGCCAATTAGTCAAAATTAATTAACATCACTGCAATACTATTCATGTGACAGATTTCACCAGTTTTTCTCCTAAGGGTTGTTTTCTGTTCCAGAACCCAATTTGCATTTAGTTGTCATTTCTTCAAAGTGAAATTTCCAAATGTGACCGATTTTCAGTTTCTGTGTTCCTCATGTCCATTCTTTTACAAATGCCACACTGTCTTCAATACTGTAGCTTTAGTAATGTGTCTTGGAATCAGTAGTGTCAGTCCTCTCATTTTGCTCTTGTTCCTTCTCATGTTAGGTTTAGAATCATTTTGGTCAATATAAAAAATAACTTGCTGGAATTTTTCAAAATTGATGCATAACAGAGTCATGTAGTTTGGGGTACATTCAATAAATTCATACATTCAGGAAATTTGTAAACATCAAATCAGTGTATTTGTGATATCCATCACCTTAAGTATTTCTCTTTGTGTTAAATCCATTTGTATTCTTCTCTTCTAGCTATTTTGAAATACACAATAGATTATTGTCTCCCACCTGATCTGTCTAAAACTAGGCCTTATTTCTTCTTCAGCCTGTATATTTGTACCCATTCATCAATATCTCTTTATCCTTCCCCTCTTCTCTGCCCAGTCCACCCTCTGCTAACCAGCAATTTACTCTCCACTTTTGCCAACAGCAATGTTCTGGAGCATTTCTTAAATGTTCTCTTCAAGCAGTTTCATAGTTTTAGATCTTAAAGATGAATCTTTAATCTATTTTGATCTTTTTTTTTTTAATTTGGCGAGAGACAGGGGACTAGTTTCGTTCTTCTGCATAGAGTTACATATTTTCCCCAGGATCATTTATTGATGATGCTGTCTTTGCCCATCCTATGTTCTTGGCACCACATCAATGATGAATTGGGTGTAAATGCACATGTTTATATCCCAGTTCTTTATTCTGTTCTATGGGTCTATATGTCTGTTTTTATGCCAGTATATAGGCTGATTTGGTTACAGCTGCTTTATACTAAACTTTGAAATCAGATAGTATGAGGCCTCCAGCTTTCTATTTTTTTTGCTCAAGGTTGCTTTGGATATTGGGAGACTTTTGTGGTTCCATATCTATTTAAGGAGTTTTATTCTATTACTGACAGGGATATCATTGGGATGTTGATAGGGATTGCCTTGAATCTATAAAATGGTTTGGGTAGTATTGTCATTTTAACAATGTTAATTCTCCAGTTCTTGAACATGAAATATCTTTCCATTTCATGGTGTCTTCTTCAATTTATTTCATCACTGAAATATTTAAATCAAGGAAATATATATAAATATTTCCCTGAAAGAACCACTGGAAAAGTTTTTCCTGTCTTGATTTCATTTGCCTGGCACCCAATCCTAAGTAACTTACAGCTATGGCTGAGCTGGACCCAGTGGTCTCAGGCCAGCTCTCATCCCCACACATGCGCCCCCTGTTGGGTGCCCGAAGAGGTCAGGTCTAGGTGGAACCCAGGTGCCAAGCCTGAGGAGAGGGTGAATGGGGTATTGGAGAGAGGGTCCCACCTGAAGCAGCAGCTCCAGGCAGCTGCAGAGTCTATACAGCTCAGCACTGGTGTTGGACTCTGTTCCTCACTTGTCCCAGTAAAGCTGGAGGATGACAGAGATAGCAGTTACAGAGATGAGGGTGGACATCAGACATCAGGTAGCAAGGACTCTGGTCAACAGAATCCCAAGTCCCCACACTTCTGCTGCAGCTCAGTCCTGGAAAATCTCTCAAGACACACTCACCTTTAAGGTCCTTAGTGACCTTGAGCATGACCCCCTCTTCTGACATGGGTACTTGGAAATGGTACAGTTCCTGTGACCTGTAAGAGTGGTCCAGAAGGACCCTCTGGGCTCAGCTGTCCAACTCTCTCCTTATGTAAAGGAGGAATCAGAGCCTAGTGAGGGAGCATGACTTATCCAGGGTCACACAGAGTTAGCTGGTGGGGTGAAGAAGTCCAGCTCTTCCTTGTGGGCCTGTATGATGAGGATGCTATGGCTGCCCGCTAACTGAGTAGGCCCTGGGTGCCAGGCACTGTACTAATGCTTTACATCCTTGTTCCACTCAACACCCACAATAACCCTGAGAGGGTTTAACACCATTATAGACAAGGAGACTGGGGCACAGAGAGGGTAAGTCATTGATCCATCATCATAGAGCTTTGCAGATTTGATCCTATGCCCACGGAGCCCAGGTTCTGGACCCTGACTTGATGTGTGCTGGACCCTGACTTGATGTGTGCAGCCTCCTGAGTGTCCCTGCCATGTGAACACCAGGCTAGGGAATGGCATCTCCCATCCCCATGGAGAGCCCTCAGGCTTGTCCCAGCAGTCATCCTCCTTGAGTAAGACACACATTCATCCTTTCCTAGGCCCCAGCTCAGTGGAAAAAGTGTCTCAAAGGAGAAGAGGGAAGTGGAAGCAGAGGAGGGCCCTGGGCTGGGACTGAGCCAGGCACTCTGGGCATGTGAGGGGAGTGGGGCACCTGGTGTTCATCTTGCCACTCTTTCTCAGGGGACTGTCAGCCTGGTCTCCTCTCAGCACGCCTTGGGCCCAGAGAGGGACATTGAGGTGCTGAAGGCTCTGGGCTTATTCTGAGATGCTGGAGTCCAGACTGGGCATGGAGTGGGAAACCCAGGTGACTTGTCCCCTAGGCTGTAGTTACCAGCATTTGGGGATACAGGTGGCAGTGCTGCAGCAGGGGACACCTGGGAGGGCAAGGGAGGAGGACATGAGGGTAAAGGAGGGATGATGAGTGGGGGTGGGGCTTGGAGAGGACAGGGTCAGGAGTCGAGAGACTTGGGTCTCCATCCTGGCCTCGCTATTCCCTGGGTGATATAGGACAGGCCGTTCACCTTCTTTGGGCCTCAGTTTCCCCATCTGTAGACCAAGAGTTTAGACTGAGAGTCTCTGCAGCCTCTTTCAGCCGAGATCTTTGATGAAATGTATGACCACCCGAGCAACCCCCTCCCCTCCCTCACCTCTATCCCAGATTCCTCTCCCTGGCTCCCAGTCTGCCCTAGGTTCTCCCTGCTACTCACCTGGCAGCGGCTGGCTGGGGCATGGAGAGGGCCCTGGTGACTGTGGCCCTCCAGAGCATTCCCAGGGTTTGCTGCCTGGGAAGTGACACAGTCCCAGCCCAGGCCCTAGAGGGGGAATCAGGCTCTGTGTGAGAGGGGGAGGGGCAGGAGTTGCTGTCATGGGTAAGTGGCAGAGGTAGGATCCAGGGGACTGGGGCAGACTGGTAACTTCGGGGACCTCTCTTGAGACCTGAGATCATGTCACTTGTTGGCCAAATAGGGACTCAACCCAGGTGGCAGCAGGAATCTGTGTTGCTCAAGTTTCCTTTCCCTTTTCATTTCTGGCTCTGTGCTTCTTCCTGGTGGCCACCAGGTGGCAGGAGGAGGCTGTGATGCCTCCTCCATGGCTCTCCAAAGTTTGTCTTTTCTGTCACTGGTACGGGTGGGGAGGGGAGGACGAGGGTCCCACACGTGTCTTCCTCCCACTTCATCTCAGTGTGCTTGGGGTCTCCATGCATGCTGCTCACCAGTGTCATCGTCCCAGTCCTGGTTCCCATTCCCAAGAGATAGAAGTGAGAGGACCAGTGGTGCTGTGTCCAGCAAGAGGCCAGCAGGATTGCCCAGGTTGCTGAGGCCCCCTCCACCTTGGCTGCCCCGGTCTTCTTGAGGCTGGTGTCTTTCCATGCCGCATCCTTGTTTCTCTAGATGGGTGATGCCTCAGGTGCTAGTGTTCGGGGCAGAAAACAGAGAAGCAGGGACCTGGGTGGAAGGTTCTTTTTATAACTCCCAGGGACCACATATAGACACTGCCATGCAGAGGGGCTGGTGGAGCCTATTTGACTTCTGCCCCACATCCTGCCATCTCCCCCCATAAGAGGCTCTGTCCTCCATCTCTGTCCTCCGGCCTCTGTCTCCCTGCCTCTGACTCTCCTTACCTCTCTCCCTTTACCTGCTCTCCTCCTCTGCTGTGGCACTCTGGTCTCCTATTGACCCTCCCACCTCAGGCCCTAATGCCCTGTCTCTGGCCCACTGTCCTCTTTCCCTGTCTTGTTCCCTGCCCCCTCAAGTCTTTTGTCACTAGCTGTGTCTGTCCTGTGTCTTCAACCCTGGCCAGGCCCTGCACATCCCTGTTCCTTGTGATACTGACAGAGCAGGTGTGGATGGCAGGTGGGGCTGAGCTGAGGGGTTTCAGCTTCCTTCATATGTAGCAGGTGCCCATGAAGGAGCTGTCCAGGAGAGGGCTACTTTCTGGGCTTGCATGTCCTTAGGCATGCCTGGTGCCTAGCTAGATGGGTTGCACTGTGAGCTTGGTGTGGTGACAGGTGGTGTCACCCAGGCACCCCTCTGGTCCCCCGCTTCAAGGGAGATCCTGGCCCAGGAGCAAAAGAGGGGCTGAGAGCAATTGGGTTTATCCTCCACAAAAAAGGAGGTAGCCAGTGCTTCAGGTAGGGGACTGCAGGAGTGGGCATGGGAGGATGTCCTTAGTGGGGAGAGGGTGGCTGGGAGACCAAAGTCTACCCGAGAGAGGTGAGGGGACAAGGGAGGGCATGCGGGTCAAGTCAGTGATTGGCAAGTGAATAGCAAGGCAGAGTGCCCCCAGCATGGGTCGGACCAGGACCAGGTCAAAGGGCCCCAGGTAGGCTGAGTTCTCACTTGGGTCCTTGTAGCTCAGGAGGAGGGTGATGTGGGACTGAATCTTGGAGGGCAAATAACTCAGGCGAGGTGAGGAGCCACATAAGACAAGGAAGTCATAGACGGCTGGGGCACTGAAGGGAAAGGGTTAGATTTCTTCTGAGCTGGTCCCTGGGCAGCTCTCAGTGCACCTTGACCAGAAGGGCTCTGGGCCAAGAAAGAGGAGGCAGGGACTGAGCCAGGATAGTGGGACAGCAGGACCCTTGTCCCTGTTCTGGATGAGTCTTGGGGCCTTGCAAGTGGCAAACTGACCCAGTGCAGGGGGTGGGCAACAGCTGGGAGGCAGGGGTGTGTTCTGGATGAGGGTGTGTGTGTGAGGAACCACCAGGTGTGGTGTAGGTGAGGGGGCTGCACTTCCCCCAGGGAGAGGAGGGGGAGGAGTTTGGGGTCACTGTGGGAAATGGCTGACTCCACTGTAGGCTCCCTGCACAACCCCACCTAGCCCCTTGCCTCCCTGTTGGGGGCTGGAAGGGGAGGCCTCCTCAGATGTGTTTGCTGTGTGTGGATCACTGCTGTCCTGCATTCCTCCACCTGGGGCACACAGAGATGAGGTGACTCAAATGTGGCCTGTGGCGACAGCTAAGCCCCTTGCTTATGGGCAGTCACTGAGATCAGGTGTATACGTGTGTGTGTGTGAGTGAGTGTGTACATGCATGTGTGTGCTGCGCACGCCCAGGAGCCCTCTGCTTAACCCCAGTAGATGTCCCTGCAGGGCCCAGGTGATGGCATATTTGTGGCGAGGGTGCACAGTGACAGGCACAGGCTGGACAGTGGAAACAGCACACTGTGTCCTTCAGGAGCTCTAGCCCAGCTGTCACCCCAGACACTGACCGTGATGAAGCCCAGGTCTGGTTGGGGTACAGCTGGGGCCCAAACCCTCACAGTGGCCAATATCCTAGGTGTGATCCTGACAGAGGTTTGGGCTGGGCTTGGGGCCCTGGGTGAGGTGGGGGAGCCCTCCCTACTTCAAGCACCTCTGGAGACAGGCCTTGTGTTGGGCACAGCTCTGGATGGCAGAGGGGTGCTGGGCCTTGATCCTGATCACAGACCCTCCACCCACCCTCCTGCTTTGCCAGCTCTTCCCTTACCTGGCCCCCCAGAGAGTCTCCTGTCCCCTTCCCTCCTGCTTTCCTCCTCCCCACTCCCAGCTGCTTCTCTCTCTGTTCAACCTGCTCTGCCCTCTCCCCAGTACACACCCTCCCATCTCTTTTGTCTCTCTCTTTCTCTAGGTTTGTTTTCCTTTCCTTTCCTTTCCTTTCCTTTCCTTGTTCCTTGTTACACAACCTCCCACCCTTCTAATAGCCTTAATTTTCACATTTCCAGGTCAGCGTGGGCCAAAAGGGGCCTCTTATATGGGATCTGGAAAGCATAGTAGCTTCATTCTGTTTAAGTGCTGGAAGGGCAGCACTGGGCCCAGGCCCTACTGTGTGCTGTCACTGACTTGCTGGCCCCCAAGCTGGTGTGGGCAGCAGTTTGGCCCACCCACAGCCCCTCAGAGTGCGTTTGCCTTTGTGAATATGGTCCACATACTGAACTTGAGCCAACGTAGTGTCAGTCTGTCCTGTAGGTTTCATCTTGACCTCACTATGCCCCACTTGACATACATCCATCTTTTCTTCTTGGCTGTCTGTCCTGCTGGCTTCATGTCCCAGCTGCAGAAGCAAAGCCAGCCCTGCAGTTGTGTGGGGTCCTGTCCCCATCACAGATGCCCCCTCCCAGTGGTTCTGCTTCAGATTGACCCCTGCCTCATACAGCAAGTGTGCTCAATACTGGGGCTGGATGTGCCTGACTGTGAATTTTGTGTTGGACTGTGATTGTCCCTTTTGCTGTCTGGCCAGCCAGCTGAGAATAGGGAAGCCCAGTCTGAGCCTCTGTCCACATGTGTTCCCTGAGCCTCAGCTGAGCATCTCCTGTGTCAGGATGACCAAGACTCCAGCAGCCCAGCTCCACGCACTGGTGAGACCAGGAGCAGAAAAAGCAGGCTGGTCCTACATGTGTGAGTGGGACACTCTGTGAAGGTCATATGCATAATTTCCCATCTATCTGTCACATGCCTGAAATGTCACCATGTAAAAAGCAC